AGGTGTCCAAAGTTATCACCGGAAGCCGAACTCCTTCGAACATTATCTGCGTTCAAGGACACCGTAAATCTGGTTTTTAAACTGTACGTTAATGTCAACATTAAAATCGCGTTCACCGCTAACGTAATATTAGATTAGATGGTATATATTAAGTGCCATTGAAAGGGTTAAAGAGATAATGGCTAACATTGTTTCATTTAGTAATTTCGTTAGCTTTAATTGTTTAAGTAGTATAATCTTCCACTCATTTTAAGGATTTTACGTAATATCCCGTTGGTAGCCATAGAGTTGACAATAAACTAACCGTTTTTAGGCGATGTGATCCTTTTATTTACTTTAGCTGCCTCTTAAATTTACATTGTGATAAAACTTATGCTTTCTTTAAACTGGGAGATTATTTTTTATTCCAGCAAAACATCTGCGGCTACAAAATCATAATTGCCAACTATTGTCATAGTTGAACGTGCTAACACAATTATTTCTTGCGTATTTCAACTTGCGCGCTATGTTATTGCGCACCTATCCAGTTTGGCCGTCCAATTTGACTACATTTTATTTAATTATTGTCTTAAAACTTCATTTGATGCCCTCTCTTTTTTAGGGACCTGCCGCAGAGAATGAACACTCTTCTACACATTGACTTATAATTTCTGCGATTGTACACACTTCCTTATTCTTTTTTTGCTTTGTTTGTTGTTAATAACTTACTCCTTCTCATTTAACTGTTTTCATTGTCCGATAACGTAACGGAGATTGTCGAGCGCGGATGCAGTAGGAAGTCAACCTAACTGTGGGTTACATGAATGCATGCTGGTCTACGCTGCGTCATGTAAAGGACATTATAATGAGAGCAACAAGGTGGTTATCTTAAAATGGCGGCGAGTGAAGGAGTTGTCCCGCTGCACATTTTTTCATGTGATGGGGCAATAGGGGGCTGCATCGTCGAAAACCCAACCACAGCCACCCATTCAGCTCCTGTATGGCCCCTTATAGCCACCTGAAGCCCCGCGGGATTGTAGGGTGTTAGGCGGCGCTGGTGCTCACGGGAAAGACATAGGTACAAAAAAACGGCATCAAACACGTCCAAACGAGGGTTTCTCTGATACTACCTGTTCACTCGAACTACGGAAAAGCCCCGGGTCCATGTATTGGCATTCAGCTAATCGATATAAAATTTCTAAAAACTATGGAAGGAATGCAATGTTACTTTTGAATCCCTTTGGTTTTTACTATGACATTCTAAGCTCCGTTTGTTATAATTCTTAGAAATGTATATATAATGTAATCATCCGCTGCTTTCAGTTAGAACAATAATGGAAAAAGTAGTTGGCTCTCTAGACGGCGCTGACCTTGGAGTTTTAGCTGCCTACTTTGTTATCGTCTTTGCTGTCGGCATCTGGGTACGACAATTTGTTCTTTTTATCATTAAAAATCTAAAGTCATCATGTAGGAATCGCGGTTCAGTCGGTGGTTATTTCTTGGCCGGCAGGTCAATGAATTGGATTCCGGTAAGCTTTAACTTTGTAGGAATTGACGAATAGGTCGGCGCATCGGTCTTTGCAAGTAATATCGGCTCAGGACACTTCGTCGGTCTGGCTGGTTCTGGTGCTTCCTCGGGAATTGCCATTGCCGCCTTCGAGTTTAACGTGGGTCGACATTTGTCCCATTAATAATTATTTTAGGCCGTTTTTGTCCTAACTTTTTTGGGATGGCTGTTTTTGCCCGTGTATATTGTCTCTGGGGTAATACGAAGTTTTATAATGATTGGTGTTAGATTGTTACCATGCCTGAGTACGTCCGAAAACGGTTTGGCGGACAGCGTATCAGGGTTTACCTCTCAATCGTGGCCTTACTTCTGTATATTTTTACGAAAATCTCGGTACGAATCTATATATAATATATGTCGTTAGGCTGACTTGTATGCTGGTGGCGTTTTTATTCAACAATCCATGGAGATCACAATGTACCCAGCTGTGATTATGCTACTGCTTATCTCCGCGTTGTTCACAATCATGGGTAAGCGTTTATTGAAAAGTTTTAAGTCTGCATTAGAGACGTTTTTGCCACTGAAAACTCTTTTTCGTGACCTTCAGGTGGTCTCACTGCTGTCATATGGACTGACTTCGCGCAGACCGTCATAATGATTGCAGGCGCTTTCTACCTCATGATCCGAAGTAAGTGTAACCCATGCTGTCTACGGGAGATTTTGTTAGGCGCTCTTTATATTCATAAGACGAGAAATTATGCTTACATATTCAACCGTCGTTATGTTGTCTTCCCCAAGTTTAAACAGCCGTTATGCTTGCATGCAAATTTCCATTGAAGCAAAGTGAACTGCTAAGCTTGTTTCTGGCGAGTTCGTTTCAGAAGTTTAAACTTTCACATTGGTTGGACTTGCCCATAAAATGCGTATTTTAATGTTCGATTATCTGAGGATTGTAACATTTAGTTCAAATGGTTCATCAGCTATCCATTTTGACCATCGTTTTTGTTTTATCTTATCGAGTTAACCAGAGACCCCCTAAGATTGTCGTATTAATCATTTTTAGGCTTTCAAGTCACTGGAGGATTTGATGGACTCGTCGTAAATTACTTTAACAGCATCCCAAACACGACTCGTGCTTACCAGAGCACTCCATTCACAACAACAAATCCATCCGCCTTCTCACCA